GTATATACAGGCAGCAAAAATGCAAAGCAAACAAATTCGAAGCACAAATAATACAGAAACTTTGAAGAACGAATGTAGTTCTAAGAAAAGAACCAAATTCGTCAGATTTAATAGGGAAAATTAATTAAAATTTAAATATTAGAGATAAACAAAAAGTGAACCAGATATGTCTGATCTAAGATAAATGTAGCCTATTCATAAAATCTGAAAAGTCTAGCTGTATGAAAATTTAATTTTAATGTGCGAAATTTATATATTTAAACATTACATGGAAAAAAATGTAATGAAAATGAACCAAATAATTAAAAATAGATATTAAAACAGTTTAATGTTTATCAAGTTATGAAAGTAAAACCATGATTTATTTAAAAATTAGAAGAAAATTTATGGCGAAGCAATGATAATAGGTAATTTGTCAATAACAGATAACAACACCTTTGAAAAAAACGGCCAACGTGGCGGACTGAGATAAAACATATAAACCTGGCTTAAGATAATACATGGCATATTTTACAAAAATATACCTAATTTAAAAAAAAAAGAAAAAAAAAAAAAAAAAAAAAAAAAAAAAAAAAAAAGAAAAAAAGAAAAAAAAAAAGAAAATCAGTTTAAAGAGAAAAATTTAGCACATCTTAATAGTGCCTCTTATAAAACAATAATAAAAAGTACAGTAAAATTTTAAAACAATTATGTACCATTTAAAACCCATGAATATGAGCATTCAGCATAATGATATAAGTATGTAGCATACACACACACACAATATATATATATATAGTTGTTGTTAAAACGGTGGTCAAGGTCAAAGTTGATAAGCACCGTGGTTTGTTTTAAGAGCGATGGGGGAAGGGGGACGAACTTTTTGGACAAAAGGAAATTTCTTAAAATGCTTTATGCAAAAGATGTACTTTCGGAATTTTTCAGCTTTCTTAACTCTACTTAGGTACTTTTGAAATTTTTAAACTTTTGGTTTAAGAACTTTTGGTTCTGTTCATATAAAATTTGCGGAATTTTCAACTCGCGAAATCACCAATATATTCATTTTTCGCGAAAATACGGGCCTTTACAGTATATATTTTTTTACATTATTTAAAGAAAATCATCAGAAAAATTACAAAATAAACATTTATGTAATTTTCCTATAGCAGTGAAAATATAAGTACCTACATAATAAGGACATTTGGCTAAATGGATTAAAAAAACCCAGTAAAGTAAGGATAAAAAAATAAAAAAAAAAAAAAAGAGAAGAAGGACTCGGTGTGTGGGTTTTTTTTTTTTTTTTTATTTTTTGTGACACTGTTTAAATCATGTTTTGTCTCTTCCTTGTGCTACAAAATGTACACTTGCCTTGATCTAAATTTCTAGTTTCATTTCATCTGGCACATGGCCTTTGTGGGTTTTTTTATGTTAATATTGGTGGGGGCTTGGTCTTTTTGGCTTTGGTATTGATCATTCGTTTTCCAGTCATACTTATTTTGTTCGTATTTCGTTCCAAAATATTCAGAAAATATTTTTAATTTAAATAAAGCTTTATGCAATTTTTATTTTAATATAGCAAAAGTATTTACATTAAATTTAAACCACAGGAAATAATTTAAAAATCACTATACTAGCTTGGGGAGCAACATAGAGAAAGGTCTCTGGAAGACCTTTTTACTGGATGTAGTTTACTGGATGTAGTAATAAATATTTTTAATTTAAATAAAGCTTTACGCGATTTTTATTTTTAATTATAGACAAGTATATTACATTCAAACCACAGGCAAAATCACTATAACAAGCATGTTGAAGTCAGAGAAAGGTCTCTAGGAAAGAAAGACCTTTTTACTGGATAAATTGTTTAATAATAAAATTATATATTCTAACTACGAGGCTCTCTAAAATAACTAACTCACCGCGTTTTACAATACCTCTGCTGATTCAGCAGACTTGAAGCTCACTGGAACAATTGCAACTACTTCCCACCAAGCACAGAGGCCGCAACGCGGGGTTCTTCAATTCTCGATTTCTACCTCCGCGCTCGCTAAGTAAGAATAACTCACCCACCGAACTCGTTTCCTTCTATTTAAATCATACTACTTCCGCTGATAATTTGAATGCTTGCGCTTCTACTCAAATTTACATATTCTGGCATTGGCAGTTCCAGGGGAAAGTAAGGATTGACAGAAAGATAGTTTAAACTTAAAATAAATGTTAGTTAAATAAATATACATACATTGTCCAGAATTTGAAACTTGGAAGTCCTACAAACGACCTGATAAGGGGTTTCAAACCCCTTATATATATTGAGGAAAAATAACATATATTTGAGAGCAAGCAAATGCCATAGTGAAGGCAGTGTTTCAGGCGTGACCACAAGCTTGTGAAACAATGCTCTGTGGTGCAGTGTCGCACCCTGAACCACATAGCAAATGCCATCTAGAGGTTATTATATTATGCGTTAATTATGCTATTTTTATTGTTTATGATAGAAATCATGATGCACGTGAATAACTTTGAAATTAAAGTTGTTTATATTAATAAAAGGAGTTATTTTGTCTATTGAAATACTTTAATCATCAAATTGAAGTACTAACCTAACATGATGATTCTGCAGTCATTTTTTTATTTAAAGTAAAAGGCAGTAATCATGATTTTCACTCAAAAACTTCAGAAGGAAGAGGAGAAAAAAAATTCAAAAATTGGTGGTTTCAGGGCGCGACCACCGCACGTCAAAGGGTTAATGTAAATTTTTAAGTCATTAGTGTGCAACTTAAATTCAAAAATTCATTTCTTATTTCTGTCAGTCTTCTATTTTTCAACAGATAGGTCTTTGTTTTGAGGAAATGATTCAAAAAAAAGTTTTTTTAAATGTTGTATAATTAATAACTTAAAATGCCCTGAAGAGCACTGCATTTCGGCGAAACAGTGAAAATCAGAATTCAGTCACCGAAAGTGAAGATGTCAAAAGTGATAATAGTGTATATGAAAAAGATCCTTAGTAAATTGTATACCATATTATACGAGTATTTATATAGTTCTTATTTAAGTAAAAATAGAAGGGGGTTACTTTCTGATTATCCACACCAAAAAGTCACAAAAAAGTATTCATGAGGCAAAGCAGTATGTTGCCAAAATAGTTATATGGCAACTCACAGTGTCGCCAAAAAAGTCATAAAGTGGCAATCGTGGTATGTGCATAGCACATGTCTGCTTTGGCTAGGGCGTAATGCTGAAGTTATGTGATACCAAGTTTGTGCAATTATCTGATGTTCTTTTAAGTGAAAGCAGATCGCTGTGTAGATGCTGAACCAACACCACTGCTGGTGCAACTAATGTAGCTGCACTGGGGATCTAGGAAGTGGAGATATTGCACTAGACGATGAAAAGCCTAGTCCTGTGTAGATGGAAAGAACAGAAGTGCCAAAAAGGTATGTGTTTTATTATTAATGTTTCTTGCTTGTTTAAATTTATTAATTGTTTAGTGTGCTGTGATTTTGAAAATAGATGTTGCTTTTAGTGTATTAGCTTGGCAAAAAATTAGTTGGCAATAAGTTCGTGAATGCTTTTCAAATTTGCAACTTTTTGTAGGAGTGTGGATAATTAGAAAGCACCAAAATTTTTTAATACCTATTATAAAATTATTTTTTATTATTTTCCAGTTTTAAAATCCTCTTGGTTGAGGATGATTGTTTTTTAGACTTTTTCTAATTTAAAAATCTATTGTAGCAAATTCAGATAGCGCAATATTATTTATGGTTCTTTAAAAACTCAAATTTCCGAATATATATTTTTATCAGTGTAAAATTTTCTCTTGCTTTATTTATTTTTATTATATATATTTATTAAAATATATATAATAAAAATAAGTTTAAATAATAAATATAAGTTTAAGCTAAGATTGTTTTATTGCAATTAGGTTTGAATTTATAAACAAAAAGAGATCAAAAAGGTTTTTAATGAATTTTTTTAAATATTTTAATGGCAAATGTCAGCAACAGTTACATAGTATAGATTAACTTCAATTTTTAATAGTTAGTGTATTTAAAAATTTCAGTTACGAGATATGATCAAATTTGATGTTACCCAATTCTTTTTCCCATTAAACAGTGTATTAATGGCTACTCTGCGTATAGCATATTTCTTTAAACAGTAAAGGTAAGTTTAGCAATTTCTCACTAATTTTAATTACATTAAAATTTTATGCCATCCAAAAAACTGCTTGCTTTCTCTTTTGAATTCATAATTTTCAAGCAGCCTTCTTTGTTTTATTTATGGTTCTTTCTAAAGATGCATATTTACATCTTTTATGGCTACTATTAACAAAGAAATATGGTTATTGTAGCTGTTCTTTATGTTATAATAGGCTTGCATCTATAATAACATTTTCATGGATAAAGCTCTAGAAGTTATAAGGTTTTTTTTTTTTTTTTTTTTTTTTTTTTTGCATATTTAACACAAAAAGGCAATTTCCAATAAAAAATGCATTATAATGGCATTCTTAGCCTTTGATAGTTTCAAAGATCCTCCAAGACATCCTTCTCCATGGGCAGGTAGTCTTGGGATGTTTGCCATAATCAAATAATTCAGTCTAATGTAACAGGAAGATAACAATATGCATTTGTATAATTAAATAATTGAACTTAATCATTAATTTAAATGACGATTATGAAAAATATTCTTCACATCACAGCATACTGTTTGGAAAGCATAAATCCAACTGCATGTCATTAATCGGGCTTTTAACCTTTCTCTAAATTATATCTTTCAGTATACTTTGTTATAAACATATATATTTCAGTATACTTTGTTATAACTCGGGTTAATGCTTTTACCCGAGGTCGAATCATTGGGAAGTTGGAGGAAGGCCGCAGTGTGGCTGCAGAGTTCGGAATTGCTCACAGCATCGTTTCACGACTTAGGAGACAATTTCAAACTACAGGAACAGCTATCCGGGGGTTTAGTAGTGGTCGTACACGAGGAACCACACCCACAGATGACCGGTATATTGCCTTACAGGCCAGAAGAAACAGGCGGCAGACAGCGGGAGAAATCGCTAGACACACGACACAGGGGACTAGACAACCGATATCGCGTTTTACCGTGGCCAGAAGACTGCACCGTGGTGGTCTGTTTGCACGACGCCCTGTACGGTGTGTACCTCTAACGCCTGCCCATCGGAGAAGGCGTTCTCTGTGGTGCCGGGAACACCGGAATTCTAGAGACAATGAATGGGAACGAGTACTCTTTACAGATGAGAGCAGATTCAGTCTGAGTAGCGATTCTCATCACATATTCATCTGGAGAGAGCGGGGAAGCCGTAATCATCCCTCGAACATCATTGAAAGGGACAGGATGGAGGTGGCGGTGTTCTCGTTTGGGGAGGCATCATGCTTGGTAGTCGTACAGACCTTCACATCTTCGACGCAGGTTCAGTCAACGGGACCCGTTATTGTAACGAGATTCTTCTTCCATATGTGCGTCTTTATAGAGGCACTATGGGTCCGCAGTTCCTTTTCATGGATGATAATGCACCATGTCATCGCACAGTAGCTGCCGAACAGCTCTTAGAGAGTGAGGATATTGAACGTATGCATTAGCCGGCACAATCTCCGGATCTCAATCCCATCGAGCATGTATGGGATTTTCTAGGCAGACGCTTGGCAGCTCGTACCTTACCACCAGTAACGATTCCGGAGCTTCATTTGGCGCTGCAAGACGAATGGGCAGCAATGCCTCAACAACTCATTGACACCCTCATTCTCAGCATGGGCAGACGCTGTGAAACCTGCCTAGCAGTCAGGGGAGATCATATCCCCTATTAAAGACCGGATGTTTCTTGCTGGACACCCATCACAGGCATGTCTCGGCTTGCAGTCGCATTGCACTCCATGCTACTTTTTCAATAAAGCTTCTTTTTATCCCTCTGATTTCTCTTTTAGTAAGTGTTGCTTACATTACTCATGTCCTTACGTATTGGGGATTAAATGTGTTGATTTGGAAAGCTTTTGTACAAAGTTATATTGAAAAAACCCTCTCGTCCTTAATTTTTGCACACCAGTGTAGTATTGAGCCAAAGGCATGGGGGGGGGAATAAACCAAAGTGTCACAATATAGCACCAAAAATGAGTGGTATTGCTTTAACAGAAAAATTATAATACTCTAATTGAGTTCAGAGAATTAAAAATTACATGCTTTTCTTTCAGCTGGAAATCATTCAGTCCCAGTTAGATGCATTAAGGTAGAATGAAATACTGGAAAACAAACTGCTGTTGATTTACATTATAAAAAAAGAAATGTAGTACGAGAATTTTTCTGATGAAACTATGTGAACTATTTTGTTTATAAATGTATTATATAATAAAATTTCTGTTTGTACTATAAGTCTGACAAATTTATCTCTGATTATTATAACTAATTATACATATTTATTAGTTGACTAATTTAAAATCTTATATAATTTTGCAGTGTCATATTTCTGCATAAATTTTCAATTCCCCTGTTTGAAACAGAATTTTAATTTTTGTAAAAAGAGGCATAAAACACAAATATGGTACAGCATTCTGCCTTATTAACAGTTCTGTTACATATGTAAAACTGAGACATCATATGAAAGGGGGAAAAAATTGTTGGTCTAAATGGTCAAGCATGTCCTATTTTACACCATAACATCAACCACAGTAAATGATATTCTAAACTATCAACTGGAATAGACTGGCAAACAGAAAAATTGTAAATGTTCTCAAAGCCTGATACACATATAAGATTTTTTGTACTCTATATCATATTATCCTGCATCTCCAACTATCAAATCTCTAGCATGTCATTTCAGCTCATCACTATCACAACTTTTTTCTTCATCAGTATTCTCACTCTCTCCAAATTTTGAAAAGCATAACTGTATTACATGTTATTTTTGTCTATTTGAATTATATATTTTTTTATCTTGCTTTTAATGCTGTTATATGTTTTAACCATAACCTTCCCCTTCAGAAAATGTAAACTCTCACCTCCTCTGCTATTTTCACAATGTATCTTACTATTATATTAATTTAATATGCTGCAGTGAATAGCAAAAACACATTATCAGAAAAGTGTTATAGAATCAGTTTTGACAAACATTTTCAAAACAGTTCAGTAATTCTAAACTGAATTCCTTTATTTTTGAATAATAATTAGATAGTTGTGTAAATCTTTGAAGCCATTCATCATTCTGAAATTTCAGGCTTGACTGAAATGGTTGTTCTTCATATACAGTTTGGTCTTAAGTGCTTCGTGTATGATCCAAATCATATTTATGCAGGATAGTTTCAATTCAGTGTGAAGGACTTTTTAACCCCATATACATTTTTATATAACAATGCTTTTACATTTACCCATTTTGAAAGAACAAAAGCTAATTTTTTAAAAAAAAACTTTACACTCAAATGATTTGAATATTGAAGTTGCAAAAGAAAGGGAATTTCATAATTGATTCACTCAGTACTGAAACCATAGTTTGCTGTTAATTATTTTATATAATGCATTGTGACAGAGGGGTTAAAGGAATAGCTAGGTACTAATAGTTACACTGCTTTTTTACACTTTTCAGTCAGTAATGGTCCCATCGGAAACCCTCTCAGTTACTTCCCTTTTATATTCAATGACAAATTTAAGCATTCTAAATATTTTCCTTTCTATCAATGGACCACCAGCAGTCTAACGGTAAAGTTGCTGAACTCTGGTAGTTCAATTTGGGCTCGATTATATGCAAACCGGCCAGCTGCTTGGGCGTTGTGGTTTTTCTCATGTGTAATGTGCGTATGAGCCAGTTTCCTTTAAAAAGTTCTCCATGAAGGCATTGCTTCCCTTAGGCAGGTAGTCCTAGCATGCTTTGCCGTAATCATATAAGCCATAGTGTACCTTCAGGGATACATGTACCACATGTTTAGAACTGCTGGCACTAGACAAAGAAAGCAACTGCAATGGATATTCTATGCAACCTTTCGTTGATTGTAGGGAATAAAACCATAAAGGATGTGATTTGGGCAACAAATTATTTCTTTGGTGTTTGGGATGCAAGAAGACTCCTTTCATATTGAAGTGTGGTTTAAGACACTGCCATGGCGCACATAATGAAATTGGTACAGGTAGAAGTGGGCAGGACAGTAGTATTTAACCACTGGTCATACAAATATAGTCCTGACATACTACTGAAATATAGCCCTGACATACATGCAGTTCCACTCATTTTCGAGGCAGGATACCCTGGAGAGTGGTCCAACAGCCTCCCACCCCCTTTTCCAACCACCTACCTTACGACCTTATGAGAGGATTTCAGCTCGCTGTGTATTTTGAATGCCCCCTGGTTTTACAGATACTACATGCTTACTGGGCAGCTAATCGACTTCGTAGCTGCATGTCCTCCTCCCAAATCTTCCACGTGACCTATAACATATTGGAGTGACATGACTCTGCTTCATTACATATAGTCAGATGTAAAACAACTTAGTGTTACTCTCATATACAGTTCAAAGTCCAATATCCAAAGCAGTTTTTCTTCCAAGTGAGAAATTTTCCTGTATGTCACTTTCAAACACCTGCTGGCTAGGGAACTGCACTTAAGCCAATGACAAAACATGAATTGATGTCAGCCACAAACACACTCTGATAAGGATTTGGGACTTTTTACTATATAATGACATTTTTTTTTCATATATTGGACATATGGTTAATATTTAATAAAATTTATAGCCTATGAATAAAAGACAATAAGTCAGGCCTTTTTTTAATAGCATATAATTTTTTGTTTCTATATTTAACTTCATCTAATCAAAACAAAAACATTTCAAATATTGTATTTAAAAATCCATTTTTAGTATGCACATAGAGAACATCTGTACATATATTTTCCATTCTACAAATATTCTGCAGAAACAGCATTAATATGTTTAACTTACAGGTTTGTAAATATGAACTGCATATACAACAATTGAAAAACTAATATTCATTTGAAATTTGCAAGATATTTAAATCATAAAATTGAGCTCTTGGTTGTAAAACAATATCACCATAAAACATCTGCTTTATTATGTAGCATATAACAGTTTGGAGATATACATTAGCATTTATAACATTTATAAATTGGGCTTTTAATTTGTTTGTATCAATAGAAACCAGAAAAATTGGCTTTTCTTTCCCTGAATTTTTCTTAAACAATCTTAAACATTTCATTCTAAATCATTTTAAAAATCAAATTCTTTCAGTATGTGACTTAAAAAAAAAAATTATTGAACTGACTGCTTCATCTGACAATTAATTTTCAGTTACGCTTTTTACAATCATTTTCACATCTTTCTAATAATTTGATTCCAATCTAGCTTTAGCTAGAAACTTCAAACATTCTAAATTCTTTCAATCTAATTAATTGCATTTAAGAAAATTTTAAGCAACTATGATTTAGCAAGTTGTGCAATTATTCATTAGAATCTGCAATCTCTTCAGACTTATCTCATAATCTATTAGACTTATTAACTCAAATATAAAAAGACATTAATAACAGGATATGCATTTACAAATAATTATACGATAATAGAAAGATAGATATTTATGAAACAAGATCTCATTAATTGCATTTTAGAGAATATATATGTTTTGAAGCATTGGCCCCATTACAATATTTTAAAGGATTATTTGCTAAGAAATAAAAGATAATTTTCTTAGAAATAATCCTAAGGAAAATTGTGAAAAGTCAAAGAAAGCTTTCTATTAAGACTTATTTAAAGAGAGAGAGAAAACAAAAGGAATGAAGAAATATTAGATATTATATAGTCTGAAGCTCTTTGAGATTAATAAATAAAGGCAGCAATTAAACTCTGGGATATCTGTATTCTACAAATGAAACAAATGGAGAGAGGAGAGATATAAATAATCATAATAAGTTTAGACTGCTTTTTTTTCCTTCAATAAATTATGATTAATACAGCTCATTACAAAAAAATTATATGATAGTATTTCTAATATAAAACTTGTCAGAACAATGTTTAAATAATGAACTGAAATAATAAAACAAGTAAGCTGTTAATGTTAGACAATGGGAATTTGTTAAAACAAAGTCATTTTAATAGCTTTTGGAATATATATATAATTCAAAACTTTTATTAAATTACATGTAGATTTTAGTATGAGAATGGCCAAAAATTGTGGAAACCTTAGGGGAAAAAATATTTTTAATATTTTTAAGGTTTGTTCACTCATAACACCACTTTATTTGAAGTAATGTTTTAAAATGATATATCAGTCAAAAGAAAATTTAATCAAGAATGTAATGCAATAAAATTCATGAAATATTCTTTTTATTCGGACAGTGATTATAAAGAAAAAAAAAATATATGCAAAAAATTCATTGTGCAAGTTAATACTCAGTTGGGCATTTAGCATTAATCACAGCCTTACAGTGCCTTCCTATGGATTGAACCAAGTTTTTTTAATTATGCAGCTGTTTTAGCTTAAATTTTTATTTCTATTGATTGGGTCAGTTCAATGAACTTTCAAGGAAATTTTTGGTTCTTCCAGCAGCAGAAAAGAATTATCTTGAAACCGCATTTTGCACTCAGCAGTAACATGACAGGGAGCTGAATCGTATGTTTCATTATCTTACAAAAGTTCATGTATGGGAAAACTTCAGTTTTCAAGTACTTTATTTATGAATTTATGTACATTTATACTCATATTAATGGTATAAACTCCACTCGCACTTTTTTTGACTAGGTGTTTCATGATAAGGTGAGATGCATATTTACTCCAGTTCTTATGTACTATTTCATACCATCATTACCAGACACTGAGCTTTAGTCTCATCACACCAAACAACACTGTTACATTGTACATATAATAGGAGTTTCAGCCCAGTTGAATTTTTTATTTGGGTTTTCTAGAATTCTAATTTTTATATCAAATTCTTACAGCTTCCACTGAGCAGTCCTTGCATCGAACTTAACACTGGATTGTGCCATTTCTCCTTTTATATGCCCTGATGATTTTGTTCTTTCACCCAGGCACAGCTTCCTATTCCGTCTAGCATCAGTTAGTATTATGTACCTTTTTTTTTACCCTCTACCAGTCTGATTTTGTAGACTCACTGATTCTCCTTATACCTCTTCAAAAATTTTTAAATGCCACCTTTGGTTACATTTCCACTAATTTTACTTTAAGTTTTTCACAATAAGACTGTTTTACAAACCAATCAACTCTTTGAGCCATTTCTTTAATTTTGTTGCATCTTTAAGAACTTAGAAAACCCAACCAACTTGATGACAATCTCATAATATACCAACAAATATCTCCTCTCAAGCTCCAGTACATGACATCATTAATCCTATATAACCTGATTGGCTCTTTGTCAA